ATTATAGGCAATATTTCGCAAAAGTAAACAATTTTCTAATGGAAAATGAACTGAATTTATATGAAAGTATAAAAAATTATACAATGAATAAAAGAAAAAGAATTCATAATATATAATTCATTTTCAATAGAAGAAAAATATAGGAGAATATTTCCCTCGAGAAAAATCTGGCTGGATAAAAAAATTCATTCGAGTAATACAATAAAGCAGAAAGCTTGTCAGTGAAGGAAAGAAAACAATTAACAGACTTAGCAATAGATTTGATGTTGAAATTTAAATTTAAGAAAGAGCAATTCATAAATTTTTGGTTGTAGGTTCGTGCAAAGTGCAGAGAAGTTCCTCACACAGCTATACACATTTTAATTTATTTTTATCCCATTCAGAACAAAGCGTTTAAATGAAAATTCCTTCACAATGTATGTGGCAATAAAAACAAAATATGGTAACAAATTAGATGAAGAATATGAAATGCGACTGCAAATAACATCAACAGAGGTACACTGCGAAAGTTTGCATAAAAAATACAAACACATCCCTGTAACTAGATATAATGCAAGGATTGATGCGTAAATTACCTTAATTTTATGCTAAATATTTTAATAAAAGATGCGATGCTTTTCTTTAATTGTCTTTACATAAAGTACCTACAACATATATCTACTTTAAATATTATTTTACGTTTCATTTTTCTAAGGATGAGATGGAGTTCCCCGAAAAACCCTTACAGTTCTTAGCGTTTCATGGGTTCCTTTTATTTACTAGACATAAACTTACTTCTAAGATTCGAACTTGAACAGGGTTATAAGTAAAAAATGGCATTTAAGCCTATGTATATGCTCAAAAAATAATATATATATTTCACTCTTTCGCTTTTCTGTAAAAATTAACTACGCAATCATGAAGTGCTATTCAGTGTGACCTTTCTTCGAGAAATGCTGGTAGTTCGGTCCGAGGTTCGAATCCCGCGAACGGGCTGGCTGCATGGGTGTTTTCGTGGTTTTCCCCATGTGTAACGTGTATACGAGCCAGTTCCCCTTAGAAAGTCCTCCACGAAAGGCATCCCTCCTCTTAGGCAGATAGCCCTAGTGTGCTTTGTCATAATTAAATACACCACCACCCCACCATCGAGAAATGCCTGAATTATGCTATTGCATAGTAGATTAATAAACTAACATTGCTTCTCTTTTAAAGTTGAGCCTAACAAATGTGAGGTTCGTTCATCTGCAAATTATTTGTGACGACATATAGTCTTATACATTCTAAATTAATGTTTCTCCCAAGGAATTATTTGTACAATGTGTTCTAAAAACAGAATATTATATACTAACTTAACCCTTTTTTTCAAGGTTTATACATTTGGAAATGTACTATGTTATAAATGAAAAATAAATCAACAAATACAAACTGATTATTAAAAATGGGCTTATTTCTTCATGCTGACGGAACATCGACAAGTTATATTTTTGCAATAACCGCTTCTTGTAATTTTTTAAGTTACTTAAAAAGATTTTCTTTACGCGTCGGGCTTTGCTGTTTATGTTCTCATTTAATAGTCGGAGGAGGATTTTATGGCTCAAATATTACAATACAATAATTTCTACTAAGTTTCCTAAAATAATAAGATATTTCTGCTATCTTTCTGAAAGAATTAAAAATTTCAAGAGATCTATAAAATATATCTAAAAACAATTTTTGTTACCTTCAGGATCACTTAATGCCCCTTGAAGATACAAGGTAATTCAAAATAACTGACGAAACTGCAAATGAGTATAATTCCGTGTTCTATTTCTTAATCTGATAACATCGAATGAAGAAAATCAGTTCCTTTAGTTTTAAATTATTAACTAAGTATTTAAGTAGAATGCCATGTCTTTTTAACGAAGAGCCCCCTAGCGTAGACTCGATTATCCTGGCCCTAACGACTTGATGTTCCACAGTTGGTTTCCCACATCATTAGGCCTTATATCAATTTATATTTTCTTTTGGAAGTGAGTTAGCATTGCTCTGTTTCAGGTATCTGTGTTCACAAGCCTACCTGACCTCTGCAACCGGCCTGATCAAGCCTCTTATTATTATAGGGGTAATAACAAAAGGTATACTAGAATTAAGTAATGGCAAGACCTCATCATGATTTTGCTGTTATTAAAAGGAATCCTACAGGACACCTGAAAAGAAAATTCAAACAGTTTGCTCCACGTTTCACGTGTTACATGTGCTTCTATAATGGTAAATTTTAACAAAACCATTTAAAATCGATCAAATAGTTTAAGTAATCCTATTTTTTCTTTTTGTTGAAGCAACTTGCATAGATATATAAAAGCTGTTTTGATTTTAAGTGTTAATAATTATAAAGCTTGCGTTAAGGTATATTAATTTGCAAAACACTGTTTCGCTGAGTATTTATAAATAATATGATTTTCTAAGTTAAAAATATGGCTTTTAACGTTAAATTTTCGAAAAGCTTCTTGAAATAAGTTATTGGATATTTTTTTTAACAAATTACTTAAAAACCACCTTTTTATTTACAAATATTATTTTGAGAGAACATGAATTTTTGACGATTTTTTAACCTATTCAAGTAAAGTCGGCAAACACATGGCACAAGCACGGTAATTTTGTTGTGATATTGTTTAAACATATGCTATGTTTTTGTATAAAGTTTTGCTATTTGACTTAATACGCTTTTAAAATTCTTTTTTTAATGTAAATTAGATTAACAAACATATTAGACTTTTACGGCTACAATTCTCAAAATATAAATGAATGGAACTAAACTGTCAATTGCAAAATATTAACAGGTAGTAAATAAAAAAAAAAAATAAAAAAAAAAAAAAAACAGAATATTATTATGTTCTTTAAATATAACTACTAGTAATAAATTGCGTTTCGTAACAGTTCTACATATTACTTGCATACAATTCAGTTTATTAAAAGTTCATTTGTGCTATAGCTTCACTTGCCTCGTGCCCACCAGCGGCCGAGCGGTAATGTCGCTGAACACTGGTAGTTCGGTCCGAGGTTCGAATTCCGCGAACGGGTTGGCTGCATGGGTGTTTTCGTGGTTTTCCCCATGTGTAACGTGTATACAAGCCAGTTTCCTTTAGAAAGTCCTCCACGAAAGGCATCCCTCCCCTTAGGCAGATAGCCCTAGTGTGCTTTGCCATAATTAAATACACCACCACTTGCCTCGTTAGCAAACCACTGCAATAAATTTGTGTTATATAAAATACAAATACCACCGTTAAATGTTCTACTAGATGTGTATAGTACATTTGAGAAAATTATTAGGCTTATTACATACGATACTTATTAGACCTGGTACTAAACACTGAAGTTATATTAAAGAAAATATTTCTAGTAACAAAAATAAAAACATTCAGTCAGAAGATGGCATTGTCCGTGAGAACTGGAGAGTGTATTTAAAACTTACATATCATATCGTCCATCTGATACTAGCTTGTACATATTTTTATTTCAAGCCGACTAGCATTTAAAAAGTAAATAAAATAAAAATAAAGGCAAACAAGAATTCAAAAAATTAATTCTGAGTACGGTGAAGGAATTTTTCTTTGAACTGGGATTGCTTTGAAAATCAACGATGCCCCCCTAAAAGAGCTGAATGTAGTTTCAAGAGTTCAACAGAATTCCCAGATACCCATTTGGGGTATAGTAAAATTACTGAATAAGAAATGTAGAACGTTTTAAATAAGTCGGTAGTGAATTAAGGCACATGAACTAATATTAGATAGGTAGATAAACAAGCAGAGTCAAGTAGATAATGAATTTAGGTATAGTATGTATAACATAACTATTTTCCGTCTTTTCTGCGTATGATATTTCGAAAAAAAAAATTTCAAATTATTAGTGAATTTTATAGTTTTAACGTCGAAGACTAAAATAAGTAATTTATGAATTTATATTCTATTTAGAAATATCTAAGTGTGGAAAATAATTAAAATTTTCAGAACATGTGAATTGAAACATCAATGAAAATGTGAATTGAAAACAGTGAAAATGTGAATTGAAAACACCAATGAAAATGTGAATTGAAAGCATCAAATAATCCTGCAATTCAATGATATATGCTAAAATATAATATTAAACAGAAAATATTTCAGCAATATGACTGATGAATGTTCTTTTAAATATCATAATATTATTAATTAGGAATAATAATTTTCGTTGATATAATGCTTTTGAGTTTCAACTTATTAGAAACTAATTGTCGTGTCATAGTCTGAAGTATAAAAAAAATTTTCCTGAAATGATAGTAAACGTTCTAATAATAATTAATTCATATAATTAAGGGGAACAAATAACTAGGTAATTTCGTAATGAGTAAAATTCCCTCTGGTTAAAAGTCAGTCTCTTGTTGTAATAAGAATCAAACTTAATTGTTGGTCTTTAAACTACGCTGAAAATGAGAAACAAACGTTATCAATACGAAGACTATAATTATCATTACTATTTATTCTCTTATTTTCAAAGTATAACTAAATAAAATTAAAACCATTCTATACAAACGAATAAATAATAAAGGACCATTATAGAAATCAATCTGAATTTATACTGTATTTTATAAGAAAATTATCTATTGATTTAAACGAAAAAAAATTAATTTATTATTAAGTATATATGTGCGTCCTTGCATTAAAATATGCAATATAATTAAATATGCTAATGTAAAAAAGAAAGCATAACATCTGTCTTAATACACAAAGGAAGCCAATGAGTATGTTGAGTAGGATGCTGCATATTTCTTGCAATAAACGCAATACAGTGTAAAAGATACCATTTTTCTTCCGTAATTAATGACTCATTTAGATTTCTTCCGCTGCTTCTTGAGAAGTGATATAGGGGCACCTCCATAGTTACGTCACCAGTTAGATTAATAGAAACTAAATCATATTCCTACAATGTCATTGACCATATAATTTGAATGATTTACTACCGTAGCCATATTTTATCAGCAACTGGGTGCCCTCACAAGAAAAGTATAAAACCCAAGCTGTAGCTCCAAACAGCATCCAGTCCCACTATGGCTTTCGGATTAGTAACATTCGTTCTTGCAGCTCTCGTAGCCGCATTCAGTGCAAGAAGCATCAATGTGAGTACATTATATTTTTTGCCTTATATCTGTATCAGACTTCTAAAATTATTGGCAAACATGTCTTTCTGGTATGATATAATGAATGTCTATGGAGTTTAAAAATTTAATGCCTTCTATCTTTATTCCTTTAGTGACAGCGTAGTAAATGCCTTTAATAATTAATAACTAAAGAAATAATATTTTGCCAAAATGGATTTTTTCTCAACTCGGGATAATACATTTTAAATTTTTTTACAGTTTTCGAATAATGTCTTAAATGGTGACAAGCACTTTTTTCATAAAGCTAAGTTTTCAAAATCGAATATTATAAATTATATAACAAATTTTGAAATTCAGAATTGTTTTATATTTCCTACGTATGAAAGAATACATTTAGCAACAGTCTCTAAATACGCAAAATAGTATTTCTTCACAAGCATGTTTTAGAACTTTTTTAATTTGTAATGTGAGTGTATTATATTTTGTCGTGCAAATTGAACATTCATTTATAGGTTTATAATATTAGAAAATAAAGTTATATTTACCAAATTTCATCCTCTTCACTCTCATTTAAATGCCTTGTTTATTTATTTTTAGGATATCGTTTCTATGGATAAAATGATGACAGGTAAGATTCTTTTTGCATCTTTTTTTTAAAAACTGTGAAATATTTCTATACTTTGATGGAAAAATCTTTCTTAAGCATAACGTTATTTCTTTAAAATGAGGTATAAAAAAGTGTTTACTTGCGTACTTCTATACATAACTATCATGAACTTTCTTACTGTATTGCCACAAACTAACTAATAATGTCGAAGAATAGCATGGCCGCCTTTATAGCAATATATCTTTAAAAACTATATCAAAATTTTAGACGATTCAGAACATTTATTTTAGAAATTTCAAATTTCTGAAATCCAATTGCTTTGTCTTTGTGTTAGGAATGCCAGTTATTAAATTTGAACTGAACCATATGTTAGCATAAAAGCTGTTGCCTAAATTTCGATGTCAGATTGGAATTTATAATTTTATGCCGTATAATTCCTTAATTTGTAAGAAACATTAGCTTATAAAAAGTACATAAATTGTATTATCTAAAAAATATCAGTAAATGTATTCTTAGAAAAATAGCAATACTTTTCTTAAATATTAAAAATATGGATCTTACCTTAAATCTTATCTTTACATGAAGTTAGAAATATAGAAAAGTACTTCAGGATATAGGGACATAATTAACTTTGTTCTGAGAATGCATTCATACATATTTAAAATGGCAAAAGTTCTTCAAAGATCAAGCATATTTACTTGATGATAAAAGTAGACTACACATCAAAAACTTCTACCGCTCTTCATTTCCTATGAAACAAAGTAAAGAGGTGACATTTTGAGTCCATTTTATTACTTATTCTTTCTCCTTCCCCCTTCCCATAAGATAGCGTTAGCAGATAAGAGCAATAGCAAACATGGTTGAGAATTAGTTTGTATGAATTCTAAATATTTCTCAATATTGTGTGCTCTTACGTATTATGAATGATATTAAAGCAATACAACTTTCAGGTTTTCGGAAAAAAATAACTTCATTTATAATAATAATTAGATGTAAATAAGTTTCAATTGTAATTAAGCTTACACGTTAATTAAAGCATAAATTCAGTTGAAAGGCAGCTAGCTACATGTCGACAGAAACAAAATTTCACCTCCATTCTTTAAAATGTATATGCAGCTAAAAATAAGTTCATAATTTGCGTAGGGAAAGGCTAAATTTAGGTGTAATCTAACTGAGCCTTTGCATTTTCTTCTCTGAAATTCAGAATAGCAAAGCCACATATATGCTAGTTAATTTTCTTTCCCTTTATTGCACAACTATTCTAGTGCCAAATATTATTTTATATAATTTGTTATTTAATTACTTTGTAACAAAACATTTTATCAAATTACAACAAAGTTTTTAATATTTTCTGTTTTATTTCTGAAGATCATTTATCTTCATATTTTAGAAAGTAAGATAAAGCTTGTTGCTGTCAATCAGATTGTCCTTCCAAGAAAGCTTTATTATAAATAACAGCTTCATAAAACATATAAAATTTTGATAGTCATGAAGCTCTTACAGAAAAGCATAATTTAAAATGTTACTTAAAATATTATAATAAATAATATTGAATATATAAATGTGCTTAAGCTCATTTTTATTCTAGATCCTGATGAAGAATTATCTCCAAGGGTTATTGGCGGACGAGATGCATTGGAAAATGAATTCCCATGGATGGTAAGTAATTAGACTTAAATGTTTTCTTAAACTAAATATATAAAACTTACATACATACATATATACATAAAAGGCAAGTAATATATTTCAGATAAATTTTATTGGTTTTGAAAGCACAGAATAAAAAGTTCTTTTCGAAAGTAATTTGACCTGTCTCAAAGAAACATTGTTGAATAGGGATCGAAAGTAATTGGTCTCGAACAAACGTTCTTGAATAGGGAAAGTAGAGAAAAAAGTAAAATGTCATCCAGTAGTTTATTATACATAAAATTTGCTATCAAGACATATTAAGATAAAAGTAAAAAGCTTTATTTTGAAAAGTTAAAGGACATCATTTTAAATTTTAATCTGAAATGTATTTTGTTGCTTTATATTTTCAATTCAAAATCTATACAGTAATGGTTAACCCTAATTAAATTATTTATATTTCATGTACTTCATATCCTAAAGCTTTTATTAATACCCCTTTAAGTAACTTATGTAAACCAAAAAAAAGTTAAAGGACATCTTTTTAAATTTTAATCCGAATAATAGCAGTAACAATAATAAACGTAGCAGTAACAATAATAGCAGTAACAATAATAAATGTATTTTGCTATTTACAGAGAGAGAATCAAAATTTTAAATGTGGCACAAAATTAGATAGATGATTTTTTAAGAGTGAGAAAATGATTTTTTAAGAACGACTGGAGCTATTGCTAATTCTCTTTTGCGCAAGAAATGCCTAGAAATATCAATCTTCGTACAATTGACACAGAACTAAAGCATGACCCCTACATGTATGCGCTCATAAAATATTGATCCATATACTAATAAAGTTTACGATATCTTTAAACTTCTAACCATTTAAGGGTTACGCTAAGAAATTCCAAATTTCGCAAAGCTGCCATGAGAATATTTTTTTTGATTTTAATGTCATAATATCCCTTGTAGTTTATATTTGGATTTATGCACTTTTAATATATTGCCTTAATTCTTGGACATATTTCAAGATGCGCATCTATACACTTTCCTAAAATATGTCACAAAATATATTCTGGGCCATATATAAACGCTGATCTCGAAAAAAAGCTAAAAATAATTTTCACCATACGAAATTTTCCTATATCACAAAGGATAGGTAATTTAAATGTACACACACTGGCCAATGAATTAGAAACCTTTGAAATTTTCATTTGAATGATGAAGTATGCAATTTTTTATGACATGGGTTACACAGGATTAGAATGCTAGTATAAGAAAGGTGTAGAATGTTTCTCCCGATGAATGAAATAAAATGGGAAAAAAGACAGATCTTTCACCAACTGAAAAAGGTCTTATTGTGGGTGCCCATTTAGCAGAGGCCACGATTTCGAAGACAGCAAATCGCACTGGGTTCTCAAAAGCAACCACATCAAAGGTTTCAAATGGTGCAATCAGAACCCACAGCCCTTCTCTAGAAGACGTAACTGCGGTTCGAGCATAGTTTTCCAAGAGAGCTATCGGCGTCGTCTGACGTATTGTACGACAGAACAGGGACTTTTACCGTGTTTCAACTGACACAGATCGTCAACCAAGGCTCTTTCAAGGCTTCGAACCATACACAGAGAATAGGAATGCATAGTCGGGTGCCTGTGAGAAAAATCACTCATTTCTGCCCGACATGCAAGAATTCATCTACAGTGGTGTTGGGAAAGAAGACACTGAACATCTGAGGATTGGAAACGGGTAATATGGTCGGATGAATCACGCTAAACCTCATTTTGCACTGATGGAAGACGTCGAATTTGGCGAGAACGCTATGAAGCAGTCTTTTCTTTATTGGCACTGTGAAAGGATCTTGTGGGAGTATCATGAAATGGGGTATGTTCTGCTGTCACGTAATGATGCCCTGGTGTTGCTCATGGGTAAACAGACAGCCATGAGATACCTAGATCTACTAGCAGAGTAAGTACACCCTGCAATGTTGCATTTTTACCCTCACGGCGACGGATACTTCATGTATGATAATGCAACTATATATCGTGCCAGAAGGGTTCAAAATTAGTTCGCTGAGCATCAGTCTGACTTCCAACACCTTTCCTGGCCACCGCATAGCCCGGATCTTAAAACCATAGAAAATGTGTGGGATATGGTGGAAAGATGCATCCGACAGCACTCTCCTCTTTCATCTAATTTACAAGATCTAAAAAGCTGCATAGCCAATGCATCATATTCGCTTGTCGTAAGTGCACTCCAGAAGCATGTAGACCTGATACCCAAACGAATCAGAGCAGTTATCCGTGCAAAAGGTGGTCCAATAAAATATTGATTTTGGGTTTCTAATTCACTGCCCACTTTGTGTATTTCAACACTTGATCAAGCTAACCTATCACTTATTTTCCTAGGTTGCACTTCATTATCAAGGACGCTTTGTATGCAGCTCATTTTTGGTAACACCAAAAGTATTGATGACTGCAGCTCATTGCGTAGTTTTGTAAGTACTTATTTATTTTCCTAAGTTCATGAATACAAAATCATCTCCAGCATATTTTCTGATAACTCTCTTCCATGCAGCGGACGAGAGCCTGAGGACCCAAAACATTACAACGCTTATGTAGGAACTATTCACCGAGATGGTCCCGACACTGAAATTAGATTCACCGAAATCATCGCTCATAAGGAATATGGCTCAGGAACTGAATATGATATTGCTCTGATGAGACTGGAAGAGCCCGTTACTCTCAGTGAAAGTGTACAGACTATTTGCTTGCCCACTAAAGGCTCTGTTTATGAGGATATGACAGCCCAAGTCATCGGATGGGGTGTCCAAGAAAAAGGTGGGTGTTTAAACTGACGTTAATATTTTTTAGTCTATTGAGTTTAATATTTTTCTTTAGAGTTAATTTCAAATAAATATAATAGAGTAAATAAATTTTGAAAGGCAAATTACAAGGTTTACTTTCTTCAGAAATAGAGTATTTTAAAATTTATAATTTTAAAATATTCAGTAGTGTGAATTAACTAACATTTATGTTATTTCTTTTTTATGTTGCTAAGCGTATTAAATACATCTATCACTATATAAGATTTTTCTATAATTTAGTTGATACAATGTTACCTAATTTAATGATGAGGATAACAAAAATTAACCTAATAACAAAATAGTTATGTGAAATCTTTCTATGGCGATACACATGTTTAATGTTGCAACATATTTAATCGCGAAAATCTGGAGTTTTATAACAGCAGAATTCTAATTTAATGAATAATTATAAACTATAGTTATTTTAAATAATTTCAGTAAGTAAATTTATCATAAATACTGCTACATTATTTTCAAAAGAATCTGTTAAATAATTAGTTGAAGGACCTTACATGCAGTCAAAACCACGTAATTAATTTTTTAATTAGTTAGTTAATTACGAATAAAAAATGAGCATCTATTTAATGAACTGTGATTTAGCGCAATATAGTAGTTTCAGGATTGCCATCAAAACCCAGTATCTCAGCAAAGTAAATTTTCTTCTATTTTTTAACTGATTACAGTCATACTTTCAGAAACATATATCGCTCTGAAGATTATGCTTCTCATTAATTTTCATGCTCATAAAAATAAGACTGTTGTATTATTATACAATTATTTTTTAAAAATTGAAATTGAAAAATCATAATTGTATTAAAACTAAATCAAAAGGTCTAGTAAAACTTATAGGCTAGACTATGCTTCAAAAAAGGCGTTCTTGAAATTCATTACAGGAGACTCATTAAACGTTTTTACAAAACTGTCTAATAATTATTTCAACTAGCATGTTTATGAAACTTATTTTTGGACAACGATCGAAAGTTTTATAAAAATAGCCTCATAACTGCTTAAGTATAATCTTAGAATTAATCTCACGTATTTGACTATAAATGGTCTATGCTACAACTTTAACTGATATTTTTCTCTTTTGCTTTCTTAGGAGGCCGAGAATCTGCTAAAATTTTGCAGACAGCCGTTGAAAAAGTGCCAACCAATTCTATGTGTTCTTTCACCTACGCTATCTTAGGTATTCCAGTCACCAGAAGACATGTATGCGCCGGAGGCGAAAGTGACAAAGGCATTTGCTTTGTAAGTATAAATATAACTTTTATTGCTTTATAAAGTTCTTTAGAAAATGTAAGGGAAACATTTGAGACCATACTGGTTTGGGGTCCTCCTTTTCTGTTAGTAAAGTAATAACTAGTTTAAATCTGACTGCTTCGCAAAATAACTAGTATTAGTATCTTTAGAATGACAACGCATTTGAAAAGCTTTTAACTCTTTCTTTGTCTAACTAGCTGGTTTTCCAACTTTATTTACTTTTAACTTACATATTAATTTTATGAAATGAAAGCTTGCGTATTAATTTTATGCTTTATTTTACAAATGCTAATTGTTCTTTTAAAGCATTCACGCTTAAAATATCAGCTAATCTTACTCCAGAATTCCTGTCTTTGACTAAAAACAGCTTTGACATTTCTTTAGCATGCATCACAAAAAATAGAAATGTGAAAGAAAGTACTTTTAAAATAAGAACTGGAAAGAGAATTGGAGCTTGGAACAATAGAAATATATATATATATATATATATATATACGTTACTGAAATGGCTTAAAAAACCCTACTAAAAGTAAATATTCGATAGTCATATTGATTACTATTATACCTTCAGTGTTAGATTGCTATTAAAAAATATAGCTTAATTCAGAAATTTTCCTCAGATCATTTATGCTGTGAAGCCAAAATATGTTTCCTATATTATTTAATATTACATAAAGTTCTAGAAATAAGACATACTTCGACAAATAATGTAATGAAAATTGGCAAAAGAAATTGGTTTTTAATAATAAAACGTGAAGGAATCTTAAAACATTTCCAGGAAAAATGTAGCAAACGTATATTTAGGTACACTAATCCTTTTGCAGTGGTGATTCATGAAAGTTTATTAGTGGCTCCTATGCTGAAGATGCCGCTGTTTTATGGATCAACTGCCTATGCTTGGCCTTCTGAAAATTACACTAAGCGTTAAAAATTCTTTCTCTGTACTTCTGTAGAAGAGGAAATGATGAGTGCTTACGGATTTAAAATTATTGATTTATAATTCTTCATTAATGAAAATTACTAATTCTTCATCAATGAAATTCATTTATTCTTCGTTCTTCATTAATGAAATTCATTCATTTTTCATTCTTCAATAATTTTCATTCATGAAAATGTGAGGCTTTATACTTCCGACTGAGAAAAATAAATGCTAAAACCATGAAAGGCAGTAATTATTTATTCTGAAAAATCGCAGTGTAATTCAAATATTGTGCATTAATTGTTGGTTAGGAAGGATTCAAAATGGTGCTTTATTCGGCCTTATGAAATAAACTAAAAAGCCGACACAGTCTCTCTTGTGTCTTGCAGGGTGACTCTGGCGGACCCCTCGTCGCCTTGAATGAAACCCAGCCCATAGCCATTGGTGTAGCCTCATTTGTATCTCGCAGAGGTTGTGCACAAAGATTCATACCAGCAGTATATACTAATGTCGCTTCCTACATGGACTGGGTGACCGAAAATATGGGTGAGGAGGATGCATCCGAGCTATGTGTGCTCGAAAAAACCTCCAAAAGCAGAAGACGTGGATGAATCTTCATTTACTGGACAATATCGTGCTTGCTTATGATTGGAAATTTTTATATGATATTTTTATATTAATTTCGACAAATTTTGATACCGGTCTCTTTTTTACTTGATATGTTTTTGGAATAAAATATATAAAAAAATGAAAATTTTTATCTATTTTTGAAAAGAAAATCATAGCGAAAATCCAAAATTTTAACCGTTAACCGAAGTACAAAATATCATGGCGCATATACTATATGTACGATCTACTCGAATGTGGCGTAATCTAATAGCATTGTAAATCTTATTTCAAACGATTGCTTTGAATACAAAAAGTTACTGAGTTTAGACTGAACAGAATTACATATAATAGCCTCATATTTTCATTCTTTCACCATCACTTTAAAGTTATATATGTTAATGAGTTTTAATGTTTGTCTAATATAATAATTAGCATAAATTTAGACTGAAGAAACAGACTTAAGAAAGCAAAAAGGACTATATTGTATGCATTAGATATGAGTGAATATATTCAACTTGATTTTAAAATTGGCTTTTTAAACTTATACTTGTTCAAAGGTAAAAAACAATTATGCTTTACGTGCGGAGTATATAAGACATCAATAATATCTTTTTAAAAAATCTTCTACAATTAAGAAAAGAAAAAAAAACATAAAAAACATTCAAATGTAGATGCAAATTTTATTTTTTCTACGTCAAAAGAAAAGTAACGTAATTTGATAATGTAAAGTAAAATAGTTTCTTAACTTACACAATAGTATGCATTTTTCCGTAATATGGAACATGGTATTCCTCTTTCTTTCATAAAATATGTGAATTCTATAAGAACTTTTAACACTTCTTTTTACATTTCTTGAACACAACAAAACGATAAAGAAAACTACTGACGATACAAGAGTATTTCTAAATCATTAAAAGGTAGCATAAATCTGGTTTTTCATACATACAACATTTAAACTAGTCACTTTTCTTTGATTAGCCTCCATGCAGATATCTCTCCTTTGGCAGATAGTCCTTGCATATTTTGCATTAATTAAGCGAATCAATCAACCGCACTCATTATTTCTTATTCCAAAGAGAAAAACATTTTTATGCTTCATTGTTTTAAAAAACACAAACACCTGTTTTAACAAAGTGGTGCTTAAGATTTCTCTCCATGTAATGGATGTAATGATTTTCCAGTCATTTTAGAAAATCCTGCATGGAAAATGTCACCTTTCACAAACCTACGATGGCTCTTCTATTCTATTTATCGAATCTTTAAAACTATTATTTTGCATAAAATAGAAGCTTTATGTTTTCGGTTTTTAATCCAAATTAAATTTTTTAACATTTAAAAAATCATGCTTTATGTTTACATTAATAACCCAAATAAAAAATCATTTATTTAGAGAGAAATGACACAATAAAATATTTTGGGAGCATTTTCACACTTCCCAATAAAACGCGTGTAAAAATTCATGTTGTAATACATGTAATTGTCAGTATAAAAATTAGCAATGTAACTGAAGTAAATATAAATATTCTACATGAAATGAATAAAATAAAAGCTTCAAATGTGGTAAAAGATACCAATAATTCAGCAGCAGCAGGTAAAGAAGCAATATAATAGAAAAACTTTTAGATGACTCCTTTTCTAAATTTAAAAACGGAAAATCTTTTCAGGTAATTACGAACTTGTTCATGAATTGTTGAAAATTAGGAAATAAAATTTGATTTTCATTTTTAAATAAACAAATATTAAGAAAATGTTCACATCCCTACTTTCATAACCAATATATAGCAATTATTTTAACATGTAATTGTACATTATCATTTATATGCTAAAGAATAGAATGCTAGTTATCATTTATTCTTACTAATAATATTGCATATTAGTTTGTTAATCATATATGGAAGAATTTTAATTAAAAAAATTCTCTAATGATTTTCCCCCATCAGCGGCTAAGCGGTAAAGTTGCTAATACTGAACAGCTAGACTTAAATTTGATTTCAGGCGAACGGGCTAATTGCAGGGGCGTTTTCGGGATTTTCAACATGTTTAAAGTAGGTTTTAGCCAGTTTCCCTCAGAAAGTGTTACCCTTAGGCACAAAACTGAATCAAATAAAACAATTTTAATGATTTTCGAACTTATTAAAAAGGAAAAGAACAGAAGTTTGATTCATATGTACCCTAGAACATAAAAAACATGTGCGATTTTCTGAGTTAGTGGTATTGAAAATGCATATCTAGTTGTATATAACTATTCAATTGTAGAGAAAGATGTAACACAAAATTCTTACACACAGATAATAGTATAGAATAAGGAGTTTAATTCTTATTAAGAATTTTTTACATCTAATAATAAAAATTATAATTGTAAAATATGATGTGATGGATTAGGAGTTCTCAAAGTTGCAAGTAATACAGCCGCCTGAAATCGACATCAAGGGAAAAATTTCTGAATTAAATATATTAAATAGTGAAATTATTTGTTAACCTCGATTGCAATAACTGCAGCGATAAACACAAAATTTTAAGATGAATTTCTCTTGCTGTACTTATTTGAAATTTATACTGTTATCAACAGGGTGATTCTGGTGGACCTCTAGTTGCTCTAAATGAAACAAAACCTGTCGCCATTGGAGTAGCCTCATTTGGATCTTACTTAGGATGTGCAGCTCCTAGAGTTCCTGCTGTATACACTGCTACTGCCAGTTACACAGACTGGATCGAGGAAAATATGGGTGAAGACGCATCCGATCTTTGCTTCGTCAACAAAACCTCAGAAAGTTCGACAAGATGGTGGGGTTAAATGCTAACTCTTAGTATTTGTCACATGTTGTAAAGTTACCTGAACTTCAGTCGAACTAAACTGTTTCCGAATTAGGACTTTTATTTATTGCGCAAAAGCTATTTATTTATTTATTTGTCTGTAAAGTTCTTTGATGTTTACTTGCTTCTCTCAAAACGGCATTTTGTTTTTCGGCTGACGGTAGGGGATTTTATGTGCAGTAATAAAATGCTTTCTGTCCTTCATCAAGGTGTTTGTTTTTGTTTACTCCAAACAATTGCTAGTATCCTACAAAATTTTAATGCAATGCACAACAAAACATAGATATTATAAGCTAATAATTCTTATTTTGGGGTCTTCTGATGAATTTCGTCTTGTAGTAACCTCATTGGTTTCTTCTTCCTATTATAAAAAATAAACAGGAAAGATAAATAATACTCTTTGTCGCGCAATTTAAACAATAGCACCTCTAAGCTGTTTCTTGTAGTACATGACGTAATATTAGGTAGCTATTTTATGTCTTAAACTACAATGTAAATTCTCTTGTTTGTTAACTGTACGTAAATACCGGTAGTAATACATACTCCTGTTGTAAGACATACTTTTCTGTATGCACTTAAATGCTACCTGTAATGTATGAAACAAGGCATTTTATAGAATGCCCTGGCTTAGAGGTATTGAAAAAAAATTATATATTTAAACCTAATATGCATGCTTCGGAATCAAGTATTTTAATAAACCAATAAAAAATCAGAATTAGTATAACACGTGTAACTCAAAGTTTATTTTTTATGACACATGCAGTCCATCAAAAACTATAAATAAAATTACGTTAGTTAATAACCTGTTAAATAAAGCGGAACATTGACCAATGAATCGAGAAAATGGCCTAAACAACAGACAACTGTTTGTAGCGTTTGTTTGTTGAAGAGTTTATAAATAATACTCTTCGTCGCGCAATTTAAACAATAGCACCTCTAAGCTGTTTCTTATAGTACATGACGTAATATTAGGTAGCTATTTTATGTTTTAAACTACAATGTAAATTCTCTTGTTTGTTAACTGTACGTAAATACCGGTAGTAATACATACTCCTGTTGTAAGACATACTTTTCTGTATGCACTTAAATGCTACCTGTAATGTATGAAAGAAGGCATTTTATAGAATGCCCTGGCTTAGAGGTATTGAAAAAAAAATTATATATTTAAACCTAATATGCATGCTTCGGAATCAAGTATTTTAATAATCCAATAAAAAATCAGAATTAGTATAACACGTGTAACTCAAAGTTTATTTTTTATGACACATGCAGTCCATCAAAAACTATAAATAAAATTACGTTAGTTAATAACCTGTTAAATAAAGCGGAACATTGACCAATGAATCGAGAAAATGGCCTAAACAACAGACAACTGTTTGTAGCACCGCCAGTTACGTCTAATAGGTATCTGTAGTCACAGTTCTGTCCACCCAAATCGGCAGATTCGTTTGAATAGCTCTACGGCACGAGTAGTCATGCTTTTAAACTCTCCCAACTGGACATCTTATATGTGCATAGCGCACTTACCCTCCTCTCACTGAAGTTGAAATTCAAATCATTTGCATATCTCATACCAGATTATTCGTGGCGAATTTCGTGATTGCGACTTAATTTCTTCTGGGTGCATATATATATATATATATATTGTTTTGTTTTTAAGTTTATATCCTAAGTCATTATTTTTTTTATTAGTCCAGAGGGGCTATGTCACCAAGGAACTATCATTTTTGTTTTGCGATTTTGCGTCGACTTTCTCTGAATGTCCATTTTACTTTTCAAACTGTTGCCACCAAATATTATCGCCTTGTGTTATATTTGAAGAAATTAAATAATGAAGAATCTGCATAAATGTATGTATGTTTCTCGCATTGTGATAAAGCAATGGTACCTAGAGCTATCGAATTTTCAATGACGTAGTCCTACTGCGAATATGGAAGCCCAAATTTGAAACTTGGAATTTGTTTTATTACATACTAGCAGCTTCGCTGCCAGCCTTCGTCTGGCTTTTAAATGTACCGGAAAAATGGCTGAAGGGAACACAAAACGTTAAATTTAAGAACTGCGTAGAATTTTACTCTGCAGAACAACTTCAAAAAAAAAAAAAAAAAAAAACGTTAATACGTATAACAAAATTACAATGAAATAAGCTATATCCCTTAATACAAATATTAATTATACTAATAAAAGTTAACCAACTTTCCGTTGAAGAGAAAAATCATGCAAAACTTTTGAATATCTTACAAGCTGTGAAATAAGCAAAAAATAACATGAAAGCAACTCAAAAAACAAAACATAAAAGGTGCTACTTTGGTAGACGGTTGCACGGATTTTGGCAATTTTTCTTTTGGCGAGTAATACAACTTATTGTAAACCCATTGCTGGATAAGTTATTTATGGTAACCGATATTTTGTTGTCATTTTATTTTTAAAATATTGTGTTTTATTGTGCATAAATTCCGTGTTTTAAATATTATTTATGGCTTCTAAATATTAAAAATCAATTTAATTTTGCATTTTTATTTGAAATACAAATTTTATTGTTTATCATATTTTATGAAATTTTATGTTGTTGATGATGTAATCAATGACGTCACCTTACTTTAAAAGTTATTGGTTTTAATATGTATAAATTTAATCTAATGTTTTAAACATTATTTATGGCTGTGAAATATTAAAATACAATTTAATTTTGCCTTTTTTTAAAAAAAATGATTTTATTATGTATGAATTTTTAAATAAATTTAATTCTAGGCGTAATGTATTAAGCTCTCTGATTGGTTATAGAATATTTTTGCATTAACGACCTGTAATCAGCTCCTTGATTGGTTACTGAAAATTTGTGCATTTCCGCGCCATTTTGAAATTTAATTAATATCTTCGAATTCCTTCAAAGATGTCTGTCTCTAAGATGAATATTGTTATTGGTAAGTACCAAGAATTATTGGTATCGGAATCAAAAAATTGTCCTTTGAGACATTATTTTGGCCAGCCTGGCTTTCCTAATCAAAGATTTGTTTACAAATTATTACAAGGGTCAGAGGAAATTTATTTTAAATTTTTGGAGGAAACCTCGCTAATTGTTTCTTCAATGAAGTGCGAGGAATGTTGATCCCAGATGAAGATGGTTAAAAGAGCCGATTCAGAGGACGGCCGTATATGGTATTGTGGTCACGGTGGAAGAAATAATCGCTGTAACGCTAAAAAAGTATTACACATTCCTCCTTTTTTACCGGTAGTAAACTTCCAATTGCTGTCATTTTAGCTCTAGTGTACGAAATATTCATGGGTTCTTCGTACGATAGAATTCAATGTGAGCTCGCTATTTTTTCAGAAGCTGCAGTTATGTAACCGACGTTTTAATTAATTTTGTAGAAACTAAAACGGAGAAGATCGGAGGGCCAGGGAAAATCGTGGAGATTGATGAGTCCAAAATCCGGAAACGAAAGTTTAACAAGGGTCGATTCATTGAAGGGCAGTGGGTTTTTGGGGGAATAGGGCGCGATTCAGCTCGCTGTTTTTTAGTTGCTGTGCCAAACAGAACAGCGGATAGTCTTCTCGCTTTAATTAAGGATTGGATCGAACCGGGAACCCAGATTATTTCGGACTGCTGGAAAGCTTATGACCGTTTGAGCGAAGAAGGTTTTAATCACTTGCAAGTTAACCATTCGCTCCATTTCGTAAATCCTGAAACCGGAGCTCATACTAACACAGTTGAAAGACAATGACGTGACTTCAAAAATTCTTTGCCGGTTTACAATTGTCGAGGAGATTTTGAAGGATACATCATAGCCTGGTATTTGTTTAGGAAAATTTGCTCTGCATTGTATGAGCATCCATATGTTAAATTTCTCGAAATTATTAGAGACATAAACTGGGATGATTGGCATGTACTTCAGGGAGGGGCAGTTAAAGGATCTTCGAAATCTTAAAACAATACCTATTACTGGACTTTTTTTTTTCAAATTTTTTTTGTTATTTTTAATCTTCATGATCCATTAATTTGGCTCTAAATTGCTTTATCTATTTATAATTTTTTGTTGTTGTTTTTTTAAATTTTTTTTATTCCTGCCCTTGATATTACATTTTTCAAGTTTTTTTCATTCATATCTAAATTATGACTCATTTTTTTGTGGTACTTATCAATAAACAACAGGTTAAATTACTCAAAAAAATGTAAGTACATATGTTTCTTTTATTTTATAATTGTATATTTCAATTTTTGTTAAAAAATTAATACACTATTTTCAAAAATTGCTGAGATAATTATTGTCACATATGTTTTAATGTTAATTATATTCTATATAACGTATTTTAAAGTATTTGAATTTAATAATATTCTAATTCTTTTAAATGTTGGATGATGTTTTTTAATTCGATATTCAATTTCAGTAATATTTTAATCTAAGTAAACGTTGGCACAGCGGTGTTTTTATTCGCTTCTTTGCTATATGAAAGTAATAATAACCTTACTTTAGTATTTTATACTCATAGCAAATGTATTACTTGCCTGCCATCTTAAAAAACGACATTTTCAACAAAAAGTTAATCCATTACTTTTAACTATATTTATTTTTTTTTAAGTTTCGAATACTTTACTATGCGTTTTTAAAGATGGCTAACGTTTGTAAAAATCGCGCTAACGTAAATCGCCAAAAATCCGTGCAACCGTCTACCAAAGTAGTACCACATAAAATTCCCCGCATTTTTTACTCTGCAGAACAACTTTATCAAAAATAATCAATAAAAATGTATATATATATATATATATATAAACATGACAATGAAATATGCCAATCTCTTAAAAAACAGTGACATAAGAAATACGATGAAAAATTGTTGCCAAATCCTTATTTCTAAAAGAATGAAACTATTCAAAATGATGCGATTTCATCAAAAATCTATCAACAACAATAAGACAGGAAAATTGTTGCCAAAAATCACATTTTAAAGATGTGAGATGTGCGAAGTGTACTCGGAAGCTTCATTTAAAAACATTTTTTAAAAATACAAAATATTATCAGTTTTCCAAAAATTCTTTTGTAAAAGCAGTCGCAAGGATGAAGTTTAACGTGTCCAAAAATCAAAGAAAAATAAACTGTACATTTTTAAAAATAAACTTTTTTAGAAAAATATCCCGTTTGAAAATGTGTTAAGCTCCCTTTGTTAAATAAATTCGTATTTAATCGATTTATTGAAACAAGAAA